ATATTTGACTTTCTCCGGTAATATTTTATTCTGGATTGCTCTGTTCTGATGTTTTTATGTGCCGTAAACCACTTTGAGATTTTTTTCCCTTAAAAATATAAAGTGGTACAGTGCTACCTTGGGTTAAGAACTTAATTCGTTCTGGAGGTCCGTTCTTAACCTGAAACTGTTCTTACCTTGAGGTACCACTTTAGCTAATGGGCCTCCCACTGCCGCTGTGCCGCCGCCACACGATTTCTGTTCTCATCCTGAAGCAAAGTTCTTAACCCGAGGTACTATTTCTGGGTTAGTGGAGTCTGTAACCTGAAGCATCTGTAACCTTAGGTACCACTGTATAGAAATGAAATGAAGAAGAAGAAAGCAGATGCTCACTCACTGAATTACAGTCCTTCCAATCAGTGTTTGCACAAGCAGCCAAGCAGCCAGAAGGCCCCCCCATGTCCCAGCCTCTTCTCTGAGATATATGATCCAAGACAACCTGCTCTCCAGGATCTCATCTCTGCTACTGCACAATGCTCAGACCATGGCAGGTTAATGGGAGAAGAAGCTAGTGGTGAAACAAATGGGGTTTAGCCTGAAATTTCACCCTGGAGGAAGCCTCCAGTGGGCACAATTGAAGCTCTAAGGTCCCGTCCCCCCACCAATCTGCCATGAGCCTGGCCTGCCCAACCACCCTTCTCCATAGCTCCAAAGCAATTTCACTTTTGGCTTTGAAGCCTCCCTCCTGTGACTCCTTGGCTGCAGGTGGCTCCCTCTATCCCTCCAGGGCTCCTTGTCTGGGGCAGCTATTTTTCTCTCCCCCAGAACATGGCCACTCTGATCTGTAAGTCTGGTGCTTTTCCTGGTGTGGTGCAGAGAACAGGGAAATAAGACAGGGAGAACAGGGGTTGGAAAGCAAGGAAGACCTTTATTTTCTTTTGCAACACAGTCCCCTCCCCCTTGCAAGGAGGACCCTGAACGAAAGTGTGTAACAACTTTTACATACTTTAGAAATACATAAACAGTTTATTTAATGTCTAAAAACAATTAGTAATTTCCCGATCCCTCTAGATATGTAATAGAACCTTAGGAAAACATTAGGATTGCAATGGAAGGGCACTTTGTTCTTGCAATTAGACACACGAAAAGCATTTCTTCGCCTTACACGGAACCAAAAATGACTACAAAAGTGTTATTTCCTGAAATGAGTAACCAAACAGAAATAAAATTGAAAGGAACCCCACTGAAGGAAGCTTAAAGGTAAAGGTAAAGGTACCCCTGCCCGTATGGGCCAGTCGTGTCTGACTCTAGGGTTGTGCGCCCATCTCACTTAAGAGGCCGGGGGCCAGCGCTGTCCGGAGACACTTCCAGGTCACGTGGCCAGCGTGACGTAGCTGCTCTGGCGAGCCAGCACCTGCGCAGCACACGGAAACGCCGTTTACCTTCCCGCTATAAAGCGGTACCTATTTATCTACTTGCACTTAGGGGTGCTTTCGAACTGCTAGGTGGGCAGGAGCTGGGACCGAAAGACGGGAGCTCACTCCGCCGCGGGGATTTGAACCGCCGACCATACGATCGGCAAGTCCTAGGCACTGAGGTTTTAACCACAGCGCCACCCGCGTCTCTGGGTGGAAGCTTACTTGGGAGTAAATTCATCTATCTGTAAGTGGGCTGCTTGAAGGAGTTTGCACAGAAAAAAGAAGAGAAGTGGCAAAAAGCCTCAAAGAGACTAATTTTTATTTATTTATTTTTTAAGGAAATCTGAGAGTCTTGTGTGGCCTTTTAGCAATCCTGTAACCAAATATGCTGCACATGGAAGCTCTACTTTTGACAAACAGTTAACTTTTACTGGAAGGGACCATCATTTTCCCTGTGGTTTGGTTACAGGATTGTTAAAAGGCACACAAGACTCTCATAATACGTATTAGGATTCCTCAAATGATCTTTTTACTCTCTGTCTACTTTTATGCCCTTTAAGAATAAATGTGGTGAGGGGTTGTGTGAGCATATGCATGCAAATGCACATGGGAGTTGGGGCAAACTGAGTCTTTGACCTGAGTGAAAGAAAGCCCAGTTTCACCACTGGAAGAAGCCTGGGGGCTTGTGAAAGGGGTGAGGAATAAGGGAAAGGCAAGGTGAGAATGTGGGCTTGTAAGGCATTGGAAGGTGTGCAGAAAGTACAGTTCAGCAAATGTCACCGTGACCTTTCAAGCACCATGCAAACAAGGAAGATCAGAGTGGATTTGAATCGATAGGTTTTAAGCGATCATGGTTATTGTGACTGTGGGCACTCTCCTTCAACACACACGCTTCCCAGCTTCAGAGGAAAGGAATTTGATTTAAAGGAGCTCAGGTTCCCACTTTGATTCTGTTATGTACTGAAGTTCTCACCCTGGGCCAGCAGGGGGATAGAGTAGATAGTTTTCACTCAGGTCCACATATGCAAATAAGGGATTGAAAGTGACGTTCAGTGATTGGATAGTTACAGAAAATGGTTACTGTTGCGTTCTAGTGGAGCTCTATATAAGCGGGCTGGCTGAACCCTTTAGTTCAATTCTGTTCTGGCCTGTGAATAAACAAGAGCTGTTTGAAGAATCACTGTGTCGTCTGATATGTTCACCCACAACTTAACAGATTCCCATGCAGTTCTATTGGCCAAAGCTCAGGGAGTCACAATGGAACAAGCAGCCACCCACTTCTGAAAGGCTTCCACTTGCCAGCACACAGATATGGACAAGTGCACTTTTCATTGACAGAATCCATGATGCAGCAAAGCCATGGACAAAAGACATTGGCACAAATGCCCGGGGCCTTTATTTCAAACTTAACAATTAATGATAGCAATGAAATGGCAATACAAAAGGAACCACCTGGAATAATTTATTATTTGTACCCCGCACCAGTCACTCTGGGAGGCTTACAGCCTATATAAAAACATAGTAAATCGTTAAGCCTTAAAAAGCTTCTCTATACAGTTGTACCTTGGAAGTCGAATGGAATCCATCCCGGAAGTTCGTTCGACTTCCAAAACATTTGAAAACCAAAGTGTGGCTTCTGATTGGCTGCAGGAAGCTGCTGCAGCCAATCAGAAGCCGTGGAAGCCCGATCGGACGTTTGGCTTCCAAAACTAGTTCGCAAACCAGAACAGTCACTTCCAGGTTTGCGTCGTTCGGGAGCCAAAATGTTAGGGAACTAAGCTGTTCGATTTCCAAGGTACGACTGTACAGGGGATGACTTCAGATGTTTCCTAAATGTTGTATATTATCTCCTTAACATCTGATGGGAGGACATTCCACAGGGTGGGCACCACTACCAAGAAGGCCCTCTGACCTCTGTCTGGAATACTGGTTCTCCAAATGCCCCTGGATATACTATGTTTAACTGCTGGCATTTGTCTGTCTCGAGAGACAATGCAACAGTACGACTTGGGCATAAAGTCCAGGGCTGGATTTAGGTTTGATGAGGCCCTAAGCTACTGAAGGTAATGGGGCCCTTTATATGTCCAGCTGTCCTTTGTCAACAACAAATTGTGGCTGCTTTTTGTGTTGAATATATGCTATATGGTTATTTATGGACCTAATAGGTATTTAAAGCCATTTGCACACATTGCCATGCAACCAGTCCATGCAGAATGTAGGCATCCTATATATAGAAATGAGCAAACCAGTGATATTTTAGGGAGCAGGCTAGCAGGCTGGGCCCATTACTTACATCATAGGAGCCCACAACACAAAACACTTTTGCTGTATGTAGGTTTTATTTTATTTGTTTTTTATATTTTGGAAATGTACATCCAGTTTTTTTACTTTAATTTTTTTTGGGAGCCCCAAGAGAGTGGGGCCCTAAGCTATAGCATAGCTTGTTTAGCTTATATGTACAGTGGTACCTCGGGTTAAGTACTTAATTCGTTCCGGAGGTCTGTTCTTAACCTGAAACTGTTCTTAACCTGAAGCACCACTTTAGCTAATGGGGCCTCCCGCTGCTGCTGTGCCGCTGGAGCACGATTTCTGTTCTCACCCTGAAGCAAAGTTCTTAACCCGAGGTACTATTTCTGGGTTAGCAGAGTCTGTAACCTGAAGCGTGTGTAACCTGAAGCATATGTAACCTGAAGTGTATGTAACCTGAGGTACCACTGTAAATCGGTATACGTAAAGACAAACCATTAGATTGGTTGTAGAAAGCAATATAGGATTGATACGTTTTATTACAACTGGGGGTAGTTGGGGGTGTCTGGTGCCCTTCCCAGCTGCCATTGCCCCTATGGTCACTGCTGTGGGTATGTAACCCATCTGTCTGTCTCCAAGCACTGTGGTTGTCTGCAAGGAATTCCCACACAGCAGGGTAAATGTTGCCTGCCTTCATGTTTTAATAAATACATAAATCAGCCCCTACATTATGGTCCGACCATGAAACCCTAGTGAAAGCCAATGTGGTGTATTAGTGGTTGGAGTGTTGGACTAGGGACCTGGGAGACCGGGTTCAAATCCCCACTCAGCCATGAGGCTCCCTGGGTGACCTTGGGCAAGCTACCATCTCTCAACCTGACTTACCTCACAGGGTTGCTGTGGGGTTTGAATGAGGAAGGGGAGAATTAAGTATGCCACTTTGAGTTCCTTGGAGAAAGAAAGTGGGATATAAATGAAATAATAAAAAAGTAAACTTCCATTACTGAATATATGAACCAAAGTTAGTCATGTCTATTAATTTCAATGAGTGCTCTGAGTATTACTGACACTCGTTTACAACCCTATGTTCTGATTCAATATAAGGCAGGTCTGTGGAATTGCTAGAGCTTTCCTCCCCACTCTTTGACACCGAGCAGTATGTGAGTACTGCTGAGAAGACCATTTAAAAGCTGTAAATGGCATTAAGGTCATAAAGATGAAAGGGCCCAGATTAAAGACATCATACAATTTTATGGAAAGATGTGAAAACAGCAGTTTTACAACCTACTTTTGATTATGGCATTTTATTGCACGCCAACGCAAACTGCCTCTGTCCTCACTGCAGGAGTACAAAGGCTCTTCTGCTGACAGATTGGGATTGCCTTCAATATGTGTTTTGATGACCTGCACTGCAGCCGCACACAGTTTTTCTCTTATTCTCACAATGCTAGAACTCATAGACATCCAATGAAGCTGGAGGTTGGAAGATGGCCACCAGTTTAGATGTGTTAGCTATCTTCACAATTAAAAAACACGTGAAACAGGGTCAGCCGGTGTGGTGCTACAGCAGGTTTTCTTGGTCTAGAAGAAGAAGAAGAAGAAGAAGAAGAAGAAGAAGAAGAAGAAGAAGAGGAGTTTGGACTTGATATCCCGCTTTATCACTCCCCTTAAGGAGTCTCAAAGCGGCTAACAATCCCCTTTCCCTTCCTCCCCCACAACAAACACTCTGTGAGGTGAATGAGGCTGAGAGACTTCAGAGAAGTGTGACTAGCCCAAGGTCACCCAGCAGCTGCATGTGGAGGAGCAGGGAAGCGAACCTGGTTCACCAGATTACGAGTCCACTGCTCTTAACCACTACACCACACTGGCTCTCAGTCTACAGCTCCCAGTCACCCTTGTCAGCATGGCCAATGGCCAGGGATTATCTTCATTTCATTCCCTGATGAAGCCTCTCCCCTCACTTGAGCCCAAGATCAAGTAGCCAGGCTCTGCTTCATGAAGGCTTGTTTTCCCAGGACAGCCAGTACGCTAACCATCTTGTAATTTCCTGGATAGTCCCCCTCCACACACATGTGGGATGTAAAGTTGCAGTCAAGTGCAACATTCCGACAGAGGACTAACGGCCTCCATGTTCTAACCGGTTGCTGTGACAACCAGTTTGTTGGTTACTGGTAGTTTTGAAAGATAACTGCTCAGTTGCAGTCACCTCAGGACCAACTTCCCTCTGGTATAGTTTATTTGCTTGTTATGTAACCTAAGCCTGCTTTCAGGTACAGTTCTGTAAACCTGAATGAATCTGAGAGTAAAATAGTTTTATATTAACATGAATCAGATTCTTGTGTGTATTCTTTAAGAGGGATTCAAAGGGATTTTTAACCAGGAAGGCATCTTTATTAATAGACGAGTCAGAAACAAGCTGATTGCTGCATAAACTTGAAAAGGGGATTGTTTAACTCTGCTAAGCTAAAGTAAACCTTACCACAACACACACATCCATTTTTAAAAAATGGACTTACAGTACTTGTCAAACTTGGCCTATTGGGATGAGGAGATAACAGTCTGGTCTGCTGGAGTAAAAAGTCTCTCCACTCCTGACCTAAATAAATAAGATAAATTATCCATGAATGGCAAAGTGTCTGTTTTCCCACGGAGTTTCAGCCACTGTTGCAGAGTGTTGCTGTGTCACAGTGCCTCCCGTCACCCCCAAAGGGAAAAAAGCTTCTCAGTAGTTGCTGTCTGTAAATGGGCATCACTAGAGAGAGTGGGTGGGTTTCCATTGTTCCCCTCAGCCTCCCAGGGAAGTGGCTACTGCTTGTTCTTATTACTGAGATTGTACTGCAGAATTAGGAAAGGTGCAGAGAAGGGTAATGGGCACATTTAAAAGGTCTCGAGGGTTTTGCTGGGAGGAGAGGTTAGGGAAATTGGTTTGGGATTCATCAGGAATCAGGAGATTAAGCACAGGCATGATTGAGATGTAAAATTCTGGCAGCGCCAGGCATTGTGGATGGCATGAATGGAACCTGAAAGAGCAGGATCTGGCAAGAAGCAAACAAATGGAACAAACAAAAAAGGCCTGTGTGTTGGGTTCAGCAAAGTGGCGGAGCCGTCCAGCTGTCATTCATCTGGCCCCTGGATGAAGAACCACCATGGGAATGGCATTTGAAATGTCTCTTGGCTTCCACCAGGAAAGCAATCTTGGCTGTGGCTGGTGCTGTGTTGAATATTTCTTGCATGTTTTCCCCTCCTGGAATATAAGAACATCAGAAGAGTGCCATTGCTGCTGCTGTATTGATGCAAACATCTGTCTAGTCCAGCATCCTGTCCACACAGTGGACAACAATATGCCTCTCATTGGTGAGGTCTGTTTTTCATTCTTTGGTATGCTTACTGTTATGTATTCAGTGGTCTGTGTTTGCCTGAGCTTGAGTCTGGACTAAGGATTCCAAGCCCCTGTGTTCTGATTCAATACATGATATCCATTCACAGAACATTTCAGGATTTGGGCCATTGCCATTGGCCCTTAAACTCTGAGTTATGATTTGCAGCTTGGGAGTTTAGACAGCCAATCACGTTGAGAGTGGCCGTGGCCCAAGCCTTCAGCAATGTATATAGGCAGTTGCTTTGCCCCTGTTGTCCAGTTCAGTTAGTTCAATAAAGGTTCTTTACTGTTTCTCAAAAAGCACTTAAGGAGGGTAGGTGTGACCTAGGGTAAGTTCTGAAGACCAGAACTCCCTCCTTCTGAGGGAGACCTAGATGGCCACAAAGGGTGCCTGAAGCTGATGTTGCCCATCCCTGAACTAAAACGTAAGTGATGACACCTTAGTAAGGTAAACGCAGCCTTGTACTCACTGAAATTCTAAAGAAAACCTTAGATGTCCTGTGAATGAGGCAAAGCAATGTAAAGGGAGGGGGCTTCAGAGAACGTGGAGTAGAGGCTTTGACACACTACGTAGATGTGGCTCTGTGCCATGAGTCTGTGTGTCTCAATCTTTTCGAGCACCTGCTACTTGGAAGACTTGCCTCTTCACCTCCAGTCCAGGCATAGCAAACTGTGAGGAAGAGGCTGTCAGTAATTGAATTTCTGTGCAGATTCTGGATAGGCTGAGCTTTACGGATGGCATGGCTAACTGCTTCAATTTAGACTGAACAAATACACAGCTAATGCGCCATGAGTGTGATGCCCTGATGGGGGTGAAAGGGCTTCTGTAAAGACCTGCTCATCAGCGGCCCTCCCACTGCCAACGCCACATTATTCCGAGGAATGCTGATGAGCTTGGAAATGGATGCACAGCTGACAAACGCCCAGGGCTGGCAGATTTCAATCAGTATAAAAGTCTGGTGGAGCCCAGGCTGGCCCAGGAATAGGCAATGCCTGCCTGATGCCCTCTGGCTTACTCCAGCCCATTTCCAGTGAGAAGCATTTCATGTTGCTGGCTGGAGGGGCAGGAAAATCACTCACGGCGTGCACATAAAACACTGCATCCAAAGCAATGGATTCAAATCAGAAGAAAGGAGATTCCGGTTAAACATTAGGAAGAATTTTTGGGCGGTAAGAGCTGTTTGATAGTGGAAGAGGCTACCTGGGAAGATGGTGGACTTTCCTTCCTTGGCGGTTTTAAAACAGTGGTTGGCTAGCCATCTGTCAGGGATTCTTTAGCTGCCATTCTTACATTGTAGGGGTTGGACTTGACGATCATTTCCAGCACTACAGTTCTATGAAGCACTGTGTTTGTTACAAAGCTTTGGCAGCCGCAAACAGTATTGAAAGTATGACAGTCCAGACAGCATCATGTGCACAAATCATTTTGAAAACACAATAAAAAGGGTGTTTGGAGGGGCCCACAGTCACCACGGGTGCCAGGATCAGTTTGTCTGTCTCTCCATTGTACAGCTAAGGCTCAAGCCTTCTCGCTGCCATGTGCCAAACCAGCCTTGGTTTGTGTCTGTGGATCAGTGTGGCTCTGCTGCTCGTAAAAGGAGCCTGAGGCTCCATCTAAGTCCTAAATCATGTCAGCAAAGGAGCCAGCCTCTAATGATAAAATATGATCATTGCCCCTGCCCCTTTTTCTGAGTCGGCAACATTGGAAGTTGCCTCGGCGTCAGCGTCTTCCTTGTTACAAATCTCTGCAACTACGGGATGTGACAGGGCGCTGCACTTTACATATGAGAAGCACCTTCTGTAAATCCTGCCACATTAACCGCTGAGCTGTTTACTTTGACTTTCCTCTTTATTTACAGCCTTTCAGCAATGAGACCAGCCGAGAGTCGGGGAGATGAAGAGCCGAGCTATTCATTCTCAGTGTCAGCTTGTCCTAACATTTGGACATAGGAGAAAAAAACAAACTGTTGGGCTGTTGATTTCTCTCTCTCTCTGGTTCTTGGTAGCTTTGTTTGAATTGGCACCGCACCGAAAGTTTTCCTTTTCCTTATTTGTTTCCTTGGCATATGTGAGGTGGAAGGAGGTGGGCAAATGGGGAGAAAATTGCAGTACTGCAAATCATCCTCTCATAAACTAAAGGGTAGAGCTCAATCGAGCTTCTTTTTCTTTCCTTCCACATGACATGATTTTATTACTCATACAAATATTGAGGCACAAAGTTGCCCAGTGTCACCAGTATATGCAAATGTCTGGGTCATCTAAGACATTATAGAACATTTATTCTCAATAATGATTCAACTCACAAGTACAGAACACTTTTATTTTTACATATCTTTATCATTTGTAAAGCAAATTCTTTGTATGAGATACTACTTTTTTTCATCCCTTTGGAGCTGTGCTCTGTCTTTGTACTTTTGTCATTCCAGACCTTAATGCTTTACATTTTTTTATTCTATCTTTTCTTTCTTTCTGTTGTTTGCCCCTTTTGTTGTTATTAAATCAATAAAATCTGGACAGGGATAGCCTAACTTGTGTAGTCTATGCTCTGGTAACCTCTAGGTTAGATTACTGCAATGTGTTATATGTAGCACATATATGTAGCATATATGTAGCACTGTCTCTGAAAATATGGTAGTTTGGAAACTTCAGCTGGCATAGCATTTGACAGCCAGGTGTTGTACTGGGGCAAGATGATTTGAGCATATAATACTCATCCTGGCGAAGCTGCACTGGCTGCCAGTTAGTTCCTGAGCCCATTTCCAAGTGCTGGTTTTGACCTATAGAACCTTAAATGGCTCAGGACCTCAGTATCCCAAGGACCACCTCTCCCCAATTTGAACTAATCCAGACATCTGAGGCCCTTCTTCATGTACCCCCTGCACAAGATGTCTGGAGGGTGGTAACATGAGAACGGGTCTCTTCTGTGGTGGCTTCCCATTTGTGGAATGTTCTCCCAGGAGAAGCTCACCTGGTGCCTTCATTCCTCTATAACCAGGCCTTGGGCTGATTAAATTATGGATGTCTCTCTATGTTTTGTTTGTTATTGTGTTATGTACTTTTGTGCTTTATAACTGCCTAGTGATCCTCAAATGAAGGGCGGTATATAAATTTAATCAATTGTTTAAGCCAAGCTAGGTAATTTGCACTTCTTTCTCTTTTCCTCAACCAAGCTACTTTCAGGAAGTGTGGGGGAGAAGCAAGGAAAAAAGAAAGACTTTTCCAGTTTATTTTTGCCATACAGCACAATAGCCCCTGGACCTATTTGTCTGATTATTATTTTTTATAGCTAGGGGCACCTCCCCCATATCCCAGAGAGAAACATGAGACAGGGTTGTGATTTCTATTCTGCCCTTGAAGAAGAACCACCTATCTTTTAAAAATATTGGCTGTCTTCATCCACTCAAAAATGGTGACCATGCCTGAAGCTTGAATTCGACACTGGCAGAAGATAATAAAAAAAGGTAATGACTCCTCCCTCCCACCACACATTCAAACTTTGGAGATTATTTATAAACAGCCCTCAGATCTTATGATGAAGGGCAGTATACAAATCTAATAAATAAAATACATATAAATAAATCATAAAAATACCTGGATGGATCTGCTTGACATTTGGAAGCATTAGTCCACTCTGGAAGGTTCCCTCTGCTTGCAAATTTCATCCACTTATGTGAAAAGAGGCCCATGCACCTTGTTGAAGCAATAGCTCCCCTTCCATGGGTGAGAATACTCCAGCCAGCAATCTCACCATGCTCTATCCAAGGTGCTGATCACTTCTGCCCTTTCTAAACCAGATCCTGCTATCCTTTTCTTGATCTGACCTTACCTGACATGGCCCTGACTTCATCTTCCAGGCAGTGTTAGAAACTGAGATATGAAAGATAGGAGCTAAGTGGTACCTCAAACCTAGATTATGGGTGCAACACTGGAATGTCTAGGCGTGCTTTTTTTATAACAAGAATACAAAGCTGAAAATGAATGAACTGCAGCTAAAATATTATGTTCATTTTTTCACATGGTCTAGTCCATGAGTAGGCAAACTAAGGCCTAGGGGCCAAATCCAGCCCAATCGCCTTCTAAATCCGGCCCATGGATGGTCCGGGAATCAGCTTGTTTTTACATGAGTAGAATGTGTGCTTTTATTTAAAATGCATCTCTGGATGATTTGTGGAGCATAGGAATTCGTTCATTATTTTTTTCAAAATATAGTCTGGCCCCCCCACAAGGTCTGAGGCACAGTGGACCAGCCCCCTGCTGAAAAGTTTGCTGACCCCTGGCTAGTCCTTCGCCTGCCCACCACCCTAATATTCTTAAGAGGGTCTCTTCTCCAGTCTTCATAGAGTAGCTAGAAGTGGGGAGGCAGAAAAAGGTCCTCCTTTCCTTCCACTCTGCAGTTTTAATCTGAAATCTTAGGTGCAGTACTGCGCCCAGAGCTCAGAAATTGCTCGCACTAATGAAATTCCATGTCACAAAATGCACCTAGAACAATGGGAGTTTTGAGCACTGCTTCCGGGGGTGATCTGCTGTTATGCTGCCCTGCTGGCAAGTGACATTGTTTCAAGTTTGCTTCCCCTGTGATCTCAGAACCCAGCCTGAATACGATATTCCCCTGCCTTAGACCACCAACCTAGGATGCCTGCATTGCTCTTACTCTGCAGAGAAACCTCTCATTTACTGCTCTTGTTTGGAAAGCTGGGGCAGGGGGAGGCAGGGATCTCTATTGTCCTGTACTTCTTGAAGCAATAAATTGAGATTTCACTTCTGGAAAATCTATTTCCTTGCTCCACTTATGGTTGTGGCGGGAGCTCCTGCTTCTCCCCCAGCTGCCTCGCAAGCAGCCAGCTGTGTCACAAGAGTGAGGGACCATCTGGCGTGTCCTAATTTTACAAGCTTTGGGGGGGGGATCAACATGGTGCATTTGCAGGTTTCCCAAGTTTGTCGCTGATCATGCAGAGACCTTGAGAAGAACATCATGTGCAGTCCTGCATGGCTAGATGGTGACAGTTGCTGTAATGCATGTGTCAGTATCTTGGGGGATGCATGTGCTGTGACTCATCACAATCATTGAGTACAATTCTGTCACTGCTCAGCATATGGGATTTTGCAACAGCTTGGGTCCATGCTGCACCTTTGCAAGTTTTCACCATGTTTCCCCACCTGTTCCCCCACCTGACACATCAAAGAATGGGCAATAAATTCAGTTTAATTCACATTTTAATGTGAATCGAATGTGAAGTTGCCCTTCTGTACACAAAAATGCAGCTATCTTGCATTTCACACTCAGATACTCCTCTCTGTCCTCCATCCAGGCAAGCAAGAGGCATTATTGGAGTTCCAGCCATGCAAAAACATTCAAGGAGGGTGCAAAGCATGGCTGGGGAGAGGTGTGGCTTGGGTAGGGCCAGAGAAGGAGACCTGGAGGGCTGCATTTGGCCCCTGGACTAGAGGCACCCCCTGCTATAAATCTCAATTAACCCACCCAAAGCCCTTTCCACACCTCTGCTTCATTGAGCCTCAAATCATTAAAATCTACTATATATATATTGCTTTGTGTTTAAGGCATTCCTCACAATTTGCTAATGTTTTCAATCTGAGTCAAGGAATGATGGCCTCTGTCGACATCATGTGGTAGGCAGGGCAACAAAGCCTCTTTCTTGATTAGTTCCAACCTGGCACCCCATAAATTACTGCACAATCCAAAAACCCACAACAGCACACCATGATTAGTGTCTCATTCCCTTGAATGCTGAAGAGCCATCGTAACTGAAAACTGAAGTAGAGGAAGGAAAGAACGACGCCACCTGCCAGGAACAATTAGTCTGTGATTTGCAATTTTTGAACTTGCAAAGGATCATGCTTTGCAGCCTGCCTCATAAAATAGAAGTGCAGGCTTCTGTGCTGCAGATCTTCACCTCCAACTTGGCAGATCAGGAGCCTGAAGCACACTGTGCATCAGTCCCTTTGATCCTTATGAGAGGCACCTCTGCTGATGCTACACACATTTACCTTTGCCTCCAAGACTCTTCTACCAACATCCCTCAACACCTAGATGTCTACACTCTCCACTGATGCCACACCTATCACAGCCATACCATCCCTTTCTTCCCCAGGACATCCAGATAGATAGGGAACCTGGGAGGGTAGAAGGTGGGGAGCCCAATATTAGGTGGTGACAGAGCCAATGACAGGCAGAGCTAAGTAATTCTAATGTTGTCCTGATCCTTCTGCCTGCTAAGTTCTACAAGGGGCAACCCTGAGGCTAAGAAGGAGGATGCTGACAGCCAGGGCCACCCTTGAACTGGGCGACGCAGGCGGCATTGTGTCTAAACCACCAAGCCTCTTGGGCTTGCAGATCCTAAGGTCAACAGTTCGAATCTGCATGACGGGGTGAGCTCCCGTTGCTCTGTCCCAGCTCCTGCCAACCTAGCAGTTTGAAAGCATACCAGTGTAAGTAAATGAAGAAGTACCGCTGTGGCAGGAAGGAAAATGGTGTTTCTGTGCACTCTGGTACTCATCACGGTCCTCTGTGTGCCATAAGCCGTTGAGTCATGCTGGCCACATGACCCAGAAAAGCTGTCTGCAGACAAACGCCAGCTCCCTGGGCCTGAAAGTGGAGATGAGCACCGCACCCCACAGTCGAATTTGACTGGACTTAATTGTCCAGGGGTCCTTTACCTTTACCTTTTGCCTTTAATTGTGAAGTGTTTGTAAGTAAGAAGGTAGGCACATGGGGATTGGCTGAGGTTGGTGGTGCAGTGCCCTGTTCACCCTAGTGGACCAGCCCCTCACTGTTTACTACAAGGCTCATACGTGCATTGTCTGGGCCCTTGTGAGAAAACCAACAAAGAGATGTCTGCCTGCAACAAAAGGGCATCCAACCCACATTTACTGCAAACCACCAGGTTTGCAGAATGTCCTAGTTTGGATCTGAATAATTTACACATCACACACAAAGCTCCTAAATAAAATATTTTCTATTTCAGGACTCTGGCAAACCTGCAAAGGAGGGAGTGAAAGAGTATCAATCCTGCCACGGAAATCATTTAAGAAAAGTTGGCATTATCATTTTGCCAGGCGTGGGCTGTTCCCCTTTTGGTGGGGGGTTACTCCTCCTAGCTTTCATGCTTATTCATCTTTGTCAATAAATAAGCCCATTGCAGAGGTGGACTGAGATTGCTACAATGAATAATCTTCCTCCTCAGTCCCACTCCTGTTTGGATGCAATGAATATCTCCTAGAGTGGGGCTGAGCAGAAACAATGTTTCCTCTTCTGTTTAATTGCTCTCCTGTGAGCTTTGGAAGGGCTGCAGGCCT